TATATATATATATATATATATATATATATATATATATATATATCAGAGTACGTACGACCACCTTGAATTTATCAGATTGCCTTGCTCATAACCTCCCTGATTTAATTAAGAAGAAGACGAGCTGAGGATGATGAACAAGCTTACCTCCCCACTCTTTGGCCTTTCCCTAATCTTCCTCCTCCTCCTCCTCCTCTTCTTCTTCTATGAGGCAAGGCCGTCGGGTCATGTCTTTCCTCTCTGTTGCGAGAAGAAGGTAGTACACATTAATAATACCATCCCTACCCATAACCCAGTCCAGCCTCCGCAACCACTGGTCGTGATATGTGTTTCCAATAGCGACAGTCTGAGGCCGTGGACGCTGGCGGAGAATCAGGGGCGTGAGATTCACTTCCGGGTGCAGTTCAATAGCATGACTCTTTTCAAGTGCTATTTCACCTAGGGCTCCAAGCACCGTGCCGTCACAGTCTTCGATGGCCTCCACTAGTGGTGCGTTGATGAGAGGCATTCTTATTGGCAGGTCAGGCCGATGAGATTTTATTTCAACTATGGTGAAGTCCCAGAGGACGACAAATTTGTCCTCCTATGTGGTTGGTCGTCGTAGACTAATTATTGTTGTAGTTCATGCTAGTATAATTTATGTTTTTTTAAATTTATTGTTTGCAATTCAAGGAGTAGAAAAAGCTGCCATGTCTTAAAAGATCTTTCTAACATTTGCCTTAAACTTTCTTGTTTGCAATTTTTAGTTTGTTAAAAGATCTTTCTAGCATTTAGTTTTAAACTTTTCCATATCATTTTCATTGTTCGGAACATAGCCTAGGCCAATATTTTTTTTGTAATTTTTTTTAAATTCTGTCATCCATTATAAAACAAATCAATTAAGAAAAGAAACCTAAAGAGCTTACAAGATTTCCTTGTTTTTTTGGAAGCGAGCTTACAAGATAATAACTGGCTCTGGATATCTCGTTGCTGGGGCCGGCGGGTCTGGAAATATAAATAAATGTAATTGGCCCTCTGTCAAAATCTCTTGTCATATCCTATTTTATTTTTTGTAGAGTATTTACACTTCAAAATTAATGATAAATTTGATTTTTAAGAATTAATTTTAAACCAATTTGAGTAATAAAACATAAATTTATATTAAATTTTAATATATTAAGCAATCAAAATATTAAATACCCAAAAATATTCGGGTCCTAAAAATTTAGGGCTAAGTGAGGGTATGTAGTGTTTCCCAATCAATTTATTACGTACTTTACACATGAGATGTTGAAATTCAAACAACACGGTCAACAAAATGAAAATTGACGCAATTAAAAGAGTCGAGATGTGCGTGGGAAACGAACAGAGCAGTACCCTTAAGAGCACTGGAAATACGTTCGAAGCCCCGGGGCTTCAAAACGGGGCTTCAAACCTTCTCTCTGCCACGTCAGCTTTAAATTACACTCAAAATTCTCTGGAAATGGGTTTGAAGCCCCGGGGCTTCAAAATGGGGCTTCAAACCTTCATTTTTTTTACATTTTTAAATATACATCTTTTAAAATTAATTTAATAAAATTAAATTAATTTATTATTTAATTAAATTGAAACACGAATAATAAAAAAATACATTAATTAAATAAAAAAAGCGACAATATTTTTTAAAAAAGATACATTAATAAAAAACTAAGGTAAATTATATTTCTCCTTGATCTCTCTCACTCTTTGCTCGTAGATCATTAGTCAAAACTCCGACAACGTCCCGGGGTCGGTTTGCATGACTTTCAACTCGGCCTCCTTCCTCTTTAGCTTCAACTCCTTCTCCTTTAGCTTCAACCTCTCCTGTTCTCGGAGATTGAATGCCCGAAGTTGTTCAACCATTTCCCGACTGATTTCGTCGCGGAAAGAAGCGGATACAGAGGCAGACCCTCCCGAACCAGAGGCAATGGATTTTTACCAATGATAGGATGCTCGGAGACGTCATTCTAAGCCGACGCCAATATGCACTCCTCCTCCGGTGTACACTTTTGGATTGACCGTGCCGCCTTGGTCAACGTGCTTTTGGCTTTGTGGCTTTTCCGGCGTGTACTTTTTTTCGATTCGGACGGTTACGGTTGAGTCTCCGGAACCGAATCTCGGTCGACGTACCTCGATTGTTGCGTCTCGTAGATCGGCGATCGATCGCCCCACTGTTGGTACAACCACATCGCGGCGTCACTCGGCTGGAGATCGTCGGGAAAGAAGCCGGAGCTGGAAGGATTCATGTTGAAAAGAGAGGGGGTAATTTCGAATTTTAAAAATTGGGAAGAAGAAGAGATTGAAGATGTAGAAGGTGTGAGATATTGGGAGGGGGGGTTTGAATTTATAAGATTTTTTTTGAATTGGGGGGTGCAACGACTATTATGGCCGTTAAGGGGGGAGGGAAAAGGAATGACGCATCGTCATTTTTTTGACGCACACCGGATCACGCCCAAATCACGCCGATGGGGGGGTGTTTAACGCCCCCATGCGTTAAAATGCCTCATCACGCCGTGGGGCGTGAGAGGTATTACCAGTCTGAGGCCGTGGACGCTGACGGAGAATCAGGGGAGTGAGATCCGCTTCCGGGTGCAGTTCAATAGCATGACTCTTTTCAAGTGCTATTTCACCCGGGGCTCCAAGCACTGTGATGTCACAGTCTTCGACGGCCTCCACTAGTGGTGCGTTGTTGAGAGGCATTCTTATTGGCCGGTCAGGCCGATGGGATTTTACTTCAACTGTGGTGAATTCTTTGAGGACGACAAATTTGTCCTCCTAGGTGGTTGGTCGTCGTAGACTAATTATTGTTGTTGTTCATGCTAGTATAATTTATGTTTTTTTAAATTTATTGTTTGCAATTCAAGGAGTAGAAAAAGCTGCCATGTCTTAAAAGATCTTTCTAGCATTTGTCTTAAACTTTATTGTTTGCAATTTTTAGTTTGTTAAAAGATCTTTCTAGCATTTGTTTCTAAACTTTTCCATATCATTTTCATTGTTCGAAACATAGCCGAGACCAATATTTTTTTGGTAATTTTTTTTTAAATTCTGTCATCCATTATAAAACAAATCAATTAAGAAAAGGAACCTAAAGAGCTTACAAGATTTCCTTGTTTTTTTGGAAGCGAGCTTACAAGATAATAGCTGGATTCGGATATCTCGTTGCTGAGGCCGGCGGGTCTGGAAATATAAATAAATGTAATTGGCCCTCTATCAAAATCTCTTGTCATATCCTATTTTATTTTTTGTAGAGTATTTACAATTTAAAATTAATGATAAATTTGATTTTTAAGAATTAATTTTAAACCAATTTGAGTAATAAAACATAAATTTATATTAAATTTTAAAATATTAAGCAATCAAAATATTAAATACCCAAAAATATTCGGGTCCTAAAAATTTAGGGGCTAAGTGAGGGTATGTAGTGTTTCCCATTCAATTTAATACGTACTTTACACATGAGATGTTGAAATTCAAACAACACGGTCAACAAAATGAAAAGTAACACACTTAAAGTGGTCGAGATGTGCGTGGGAAACAAAGAGAGCAGTGCCCTTAAGAGCACTGGAAATACGTTTGAAGCTCCGGGGCTTCAAATCGGGGCTTCACACCTTCTCGATCTCTCTGCCACGTCAGCTTTAACTTACACCCAAAATTCACTGGAAATGGGTTTGAATCCCCTGGACTTCAAACTGGGCTTCAAACCTTCATTTTTTACATTTTTAAACATACATTTTCTAAAATTTAATTAATAAAATGTAATTAATTTATTACTTAATTAAATTGAAACAAGAATAATAAAAAATACATTAATTAAATAAAAAAAGCGACAATATTTTGAAAAAAGATACATTAATAAAAAACTAAGATAAATTATATTTCTCCTTGATATCTCTCATTCTTTGCTCGTAGATCATTAGTCCGAACTCCGACAACGTCCTGGGGTCGGTTTGCATGACTTTCATCTCGGCCTCCCGCTCCTTTAGCTTCAACTCCGTCTCCTTTAACTTCAACCTCTCTTGTTCTTGGAGATTGAACGCCCGAAGTTGTTCAACCATTTCCTGACCGATTTCGTCGCGGGAAGAAGCGGAAACAGATGCGGACCCTCCCGAACCAGAGGCAATGGATTTTTACCAATGATAGGATGCTCGAAGACGTCAACCCAAGTCGACGCCAATATGCACTCCTCCTCTGGCGTCCACTTTTGCAATTCAAGGAGTACAAAAAGTGGTGCCCCATTGCTCATTTTCTTAATATATAATTAATGAAATTGAAGTTTGTATAAAAGTCAAGAATCGGAAAAAATAATTAGAATGGGAATGGGTAATCCGTTTGTGTGATGGAATGTTCAATAAATATATAAGTCAAGATTATTGAGGAAATAAACAATATAAGGAATGGACGAAATATAGTGGCTCATATACAATAGGTGAGGATGTATTGGCCCATAATGAGAAAGCTCGGTCCTCCAATGAAGAGAGATCAATAAGACGAAAGTTGGGAGTGGGGTTATCCAATTGCCGGTTAAGCATCCGAGTATTGCACGAGAGGTGGAATCCCGACCGTTCCTAGGTACCGGTGCCAAACCAATCACCACCGTTCGATCCGCTCCCATCATCACGAGATTCTATCAGCCACGCCATTCGCAATATTTTAAAGAGAAATTTACGACTAAAACATAATGACTTTCCCAATATAAGACCATATGTTTTTATTTTCTAATGTAAGACCTTTGGTCATTATTAAGTAGTCATTATTCAACTAAATTTCCATCATTACTGGACATTATTCCTTCCACTAAGTCATTATTAAGTCTTATTCAGAGAATAAAAAAGTTCAAGTCCTACATTAGGAAAGTCATTATGTTTTAGTCCTATTTAGTGCAAATTTCACTATTTTAAATCCGGATTTCAAGTCCGCGGTATAAAGAACACCAAAAAAAGACTCATTTTTTTAGTTAATAAACACAAAACGCGCTTTGCCCTTTAGGCTAATCTACTTTATGCCTCCTCCGGAAAAAGAATTCTGATTCAAGAAATTTACAAGGAAAAATAAAAAAAATACTCCCTCTATCCCAAAAGGATTTACACGTTTCAAAAAAATTGCGTCCCACAATCTCCTACTCATTTTTATTAAAAAACCACTTTTACGCTTACTTTTTCAAACCCTACTTATCACATCATACCTTTTTCCTAATAATCTACACATCACATTTTACTTTTACCTATCACGTCAAGGATAATTTTGGAAAGTCAATACAAAATTATCCCTCTTTTAAATTTAATTTTAGTCAAAACGTGTAAATCTTTTTGGAACAGAGGTAGTAGTTTTCTCTGGTGCTAGGAGTGCCACCATGATGCGCGAAAAAATACGGTGCATAACGCCCCAGTAGAGAGTCTAAGAGCACTGGTAATGGGTTTGAAGCCCCGGGGCTTTAAATCGGGGCTTCAAACCTTCTCTCTCTGCCACGTCAGCTTTAACTTACACCCAAAATTCACTGGAAATGGGTTTGAAGCCTCGAGGCTTCAAACCTTCATTTTTTACATTTTTAAATATACATCTTCTAAAATTAAATTAATAAAATGTAATTAATTCATTATT